CAAAACTGATAAACCACCACCGTTCTTCCTGCTAGTCTGGGAGAATGTCAAGACTACATGAGAATTACTAATGATCTTAAAATAAAAATGGTGTTTAAATATTAATTAACGCTAGAAAACTCTCTGGTGAGAGACCTGCCTTTAGCTCTTTCCTCTTCTGCTGCAATAGCCTGGACCAAGAATGGTGTTTAGGACTCTGTAGTATACTCTTCTGAACTGCTGTTACAGAAAATGTTATGTGACATGGAATTGCTTTCCTATATTTGGAATGGGAAGCTTTGTTCCTGCCTCATGCAAAATAAGCAGTAACTGTATATTTGGCATATGTATCCTGAGACTTAATGCTGATCTGCTTCACACAACTAAATAATTAATCCTGTGAGTAAGTAAAGGATTTGCCACTGACCCACTTTCCAAAGAGCTGCATGAGGCTGCCAACAGTCTTGTTCCAGCAGCACCAGAATAAACCTCTCACATCACCTTTGCAGTTCTCTCTCTATTTTTCAATACTGTAAAGCATCAGCAAGTGTCTTGAAAATTGTTCTGCTTGGAAAACAAAAGTAGGAAAACTAAGGGTTGCAAGGCTGTCCTTGGGGCAAAGAGCAATTTGAGACCATCCTTTTGAGTTCAACGAGAGTAAAGCCAAACTGCATATGACTGAAAGCCATGTATTTCACTGGAAATTAAATGCATGCTGGCAGTTGGACTCAATTTTTGTACTGAAGGGAGACAGTTTACATCCACTTCCCATTAATTAACACAGTGTACAGGCTCTGGAGCTCCCCGTCCTCATCTGCAGGTCTCAAATGTCCATCTGAAGAGGCAAGTAAATCTGAGCAGAGCAGTCTTTTCTCACTGTGACACACATTTCTCCACCCATGCTCCCAGCCTCAGCCTGCTGCTTGTCTGCCCACACAGTCCCTATCTTCTTTTCTGGACCTGGAAGAGAAAGAGGAAGAGTGAGAAGAAAAGGAGGGAGGCTCCTTCATGGGCAACAGCACCTTATGGCCCTAAATCCTTTTGCTAATTTTAGCATTTTTGTCTGAAGATGCAAAAACACACTGAACATCTCAGTTTTATTTTCCATGACCTTGTTCAGGGGATTACAGGAGTTTGCAAGTAGCCTTACAATCCTAATCCTAGGATTAATTTATTAACTATCAGCACAGATCTATTAACTGCAGAGAGATGTTGATCTTGAAGTCTTTTGCTCAAAAGGAAACATTCTCCCTCTGACACTATTCAAAACCTCTCACCAAAAGGTTCTAGGAAACTGCAGGGACATTCAGATAACTTTTTCATCATGGAGTAATGAAAGTTTAGCCTGGTGACCTGCTTGATAAAGAGTGGAGCCTTTTTTGAGAAACTGTAAGTATTAAAGAAGATAAATTATCTTTCCTTGATCTGCGGATTTCAAAATCCACCACTAGGGATTTTAGAGCAACAGATGGAACATCTGCCTTTGTTATTTTCCTCCCTTCTAAGAACATCATGACATTTTATAGCTACTGGAACAGTTAGAAATTTAATTTGGAAGAACTTTGCAATTGCGAGGTTGTCTCTACTGATCAAGGAGAACTTCATATCTTGAACATAATGATGATTTCACAGTAACATATAGTTCTTCAAATTAAGTTTTCTCTTGATCACTGAATAAAACTATTTTTCTACCCTATCGAAACAGGCCATCTATTTTGAAATTAAGAGAATAAGGTTCATTTGGGGATAAATTAATGGTTAACAGGTAGGCAGATGCACCTACCTGATGAAACACCTCTCCTTTGTTATCCCACAGTACTTCACAACCATGCTTTACACAGTGGTGTCCTGCACACAACCCAACTGAATGCTACATCCTTGCTGGAATATCGGCACAGTCAGGGGGCCCCACGTGTGAACATGCACCCCAGAGCCTGCACACCCAGTCTTCAAGCAATAGTAAAGGAGTCATGTCTTGTCTGAACAGAGCCATGCAGGGGTCACAGACTTTGCAATTCGTCCCACTTAATAACAGGCATGATTATGTGAAGATAAACAGATGTTTACCAAAGTGATGATGAGAGGGGTCACTCTGGGAACACTAGTTGAAGCTGCAGCAAACAAAGGGGCTCTGGCATAATTGCTTAAAACAAAACCTCTGGATAGAAGCAGAATCCTGACAATGTTCTAAGTACCTATCCCAAGTACCTCTGAGTACTTGGAATGGAATTTTTCCAGCAGGGCCACTGATTATGTAAAACAGTCAAAAGGCACTGAGGAGTCCATGGTCCTTAACCAGGGCTCTAGTGAGAAAGACCTTCCTTTCCCCATACAGGAGTTCACACAAGAGCCTGGAGAATAGAAAGCTCTTTAACCCCTGCATGCATGCAGAATGAAAGTGTTCAGCCAGTCCTAAGCAAGTCACCATGGGACAGCCATGGTTTCAAATAAAAGTACTGTGATGGAGGTGTGTTTATGGAAACATCAAATACAAGAAGAAAGACAGTGTAAAGCATACTTTCCTTTTTATAACGCGTATTTAGCATTTTATAAGGTATACTTTCCCAAGTGAGGGATGGAACATTGCAAAGAAGTTGAAGGCATTCAGCAGGCAGAGGCTCAGTGTTATTAAACAGAGTTCAGGACAGCCGCTCCACTCCAAAGCACTGCTCACGCCCAGTGCATTGTGCATGTAAGCAGCAGGAGGATCTTCAGTGCGATGCTCTCTTAGGGATGAAAATTGCAGCATTTATCAGTTCTGCAGATGTAAGTAATTTTCCCCTGCCATCTGCGACAACCCTGGCAGACTGCAGCATTACTGAATCATTTGTCTCTTTTCTATCTGAATGAGCCCATTGCTGCTTCTTGCTGGCTTACATCAGACTAACATCTTCCACACAGAAAGTTGGTGTGCAAAAATGCAAACGTGCACGTGTCAGTTTTCTGCAACCTTCTCTCTCCTGGTCTGTGCCTGAATGCCAGCCTATTTAACAGCCTTATTCTGATCACTCTTAAAAAAGTTCTCAACTTTTCATCCTGGATCTTCCTTACTACAGTTAAAACAACATTGCTTCCTATTTGATACTTTCTCCACAGCTAGAGAATTGCAACCCTTTTATGGCTGTTTATAAAGTATTTAAAGACTATTATGTCTCTCCTTTAGCCTCCACTAGGCTCAGACTAATTGCAAATTTGCTCAAGCCCCTTCCACTGTGATACTCTGAAATTTTCTGTTCCTTGTGCAGAACTGAGGCCATCTATCATTTTCATGAGACTTTCAAATAGTAATTATTGTTAAGACAGCGCACAGCAGTTTCCAACTTCATTATAAAGAGGCACCTTTTTCCAGCCTTACAAAAGCATGCTGTCTGTAGTAGTTACTCAAGATATTGAAAGGCAAATATTCTTTGTTATCTAAATACAGAAGGAAAAGCCCTTTTAATTCACAGAAGCAGGGAATAAAAAGCCTCTCAAATCAAAAGGGGGAATTGCAGCTCCAGTGAATTTCATCCTTGTCTTGATAGCAAAAGTTCATTTTTTTTTTTACTGAAGAAAACATTCCACAATATCTTAACTCCTTAGTGATTCTCAGCTGACTTTAGCTTACTACTGCTTAATTAGGCTTGGGAGCAGTACTAATAATGATCACGTTTCCTTATCAACTTGAAAACCTGAGTCAACAGATAAAGCCTCTGTGGTATAGATCTACTAATAACCTCTTGCATTCTGCAAAGTGTTCGGACCTAGCATCACCTAAGTGTCTAGCTGCATGCAGCACATCCAAGACCATGTTCCTCACAGCTTTCTCAGTGCCCATGAAGTGACCAGAGAACTGCAGGTGACAGCCAATGCCCAGCTGGCAGAGCTCCAGCAGGTGATGGCTCCTGTGAGGACCTGTGCCATAGAGCTCTGATTTCACTGGTCAGGGAGCGTATAAACAGGAAGGGGAACAGCTATTTACAAGGGTGGGTAGTGATAGGATGAGGGGGAATGATTTTAAACAGAGACAGGGGAGGTTTAGGTTAGATATTAGGAGGAAGTTTTTCACATGGAGGGTGGTGACGCACTGGAACAGGTTGCCCAAGGAGGTTGTGGATGCCCCATCCCTGGAGGCATTCAAGGCCAGGCTGGATGTGGCTCTGGGCAGCCTGGTCTGGTGGTTGTTGACCCTGCACATAGCAGGGGGTTGAAACTAGATGATAGTTGTGGTCCTTTTTTAACCCAGGCCATTCTATGATTCTAATATCCAGCACTGAGAAAATGCTAGTAGAGCAAAGGCGGACACAAAAGAGCAGACAGCATAATTATTTCAAAAACAGTTGCTATTCAGCAATGCAAACAATGCATAAATCTCCAAATTCAGGATTAAAGCTGGCAGATTCCACTCTACAGCAATTAAAAATGCAAAAGGACATTATGAAAATCATAAATTCTTTCCAGAATATAAAGTAACGTTCATAATTCTTTCTATCTGTCACTTAGTATCTGAGGTCAGCCCAGCAGAAGAACTTTGCTCCAAATTATTTCATCACAGAATGGTACAATTTATTTACTTGTCCCTTGAGGATCTGAGCACAGTAGAGGCCGCAATGTTCCAGTTTTTAAAAGCACTTTGAGTCAAACCTATTACATATACTTCTGAAGTCTATCTAGCTCTTCAGTTTCTCAGAACACTGTTGATAACATTCACAAGTCAAAAAATACCATTTTGCATTCTGCCCCACAACCCAAACTCGTATCATTTGTGGATTCCTACATGGGAATTACCACCCTGGGTGGATTTGTTGGGGCAATTCCACGCGTACAAAGGTGGATTGTGCAAAATCCTCAGTAATGTGGCAGAAATATCCAACATCTTTGTGGTCTATTGAAATAAAGTCAATTTACATTGAGGGACACGTTGTACAGTTAGGGAAAAGCCTAACAAAGTTCTACTTTGCGTGAAGCATTTATGTAAGCTACAGGTGGCAGAGCCAACGCACACAAGCGCCCGAAGGCTCTTCTGTGAGGTACCGTGGGACTGGGCTGTTCTAGAAGGGCCGGAGCCACGCTGCCCTTGGAGACGCAGCCAACGGCACCCTGCCGCCGCAGCCGGCACTGATGGACGCAGCGCCGCCCCACAGCGGCCGCGGGCAGGCGGCTGCCGCCATCGAGGCGCTCGGCCGCTCGGCTGGGAGACCTGCGGGGCGCTGCGGAGCCCGGAAGCGGAGCGAGTGCTCCGAAACGGCGGCGATGGCGGCGGAGCAGCTGTACCCGCGGAGCTCTATCGAGGATGACTTCAACTACGGCAGCAACGTGGCCTCGGCCAGCGTCCACATCCGCATGGGTAGGGCTGGGGTGGGTGAGGGCCGCGGGTGCCCGCAGCCAGCGCTGGAGAAGGCGCTGCTGCCCCCTCCTCTTTCCCTGGGTTCCCCCCGTTCCTGTTAACCCCTGCTGGGCTGGGCCTTTTGAAGCCCAGATGTATTGCTTTTACGTGTATGGACGTTAACGTGGGTGCCCGTGATGACAGGAGTTTATCCGTTGGGATTGGAGGGGTTTAATGTCTTCTGAGAGGTATCAGAATATTGTCCCTCAGCCTGAGCCTTTGGGTGCCGTGAGCAGCTGTGGAATTCTGCTTTGCTGCGTCGTAAGCACACTGCGTTGCAGGAGGTAGCTTCCTCGCTAATTCTGGCTGAGATCTGTCGTTGGATACACCTCAAAGCAAAAACAGCTGCATGCTGTGGATTTTTTATCAGCCAGACTTTTTTTTATTAGCCATTCCTGACGAACAGGAGATCTCTTAGGGTAAAAGCACAGGCGTTTTGATTGGAAGTGAAAGCAAAAACATGAAGGAGCTACCACCATTAGCCAAGCTGCTGATGCGTTTCGTAATGGGGGGAGGAAGGCTGTGCCGGCCAGCAGGCTACTCCTGGGTTTGTTCTGCTGCAACAAAGTGGGATCCCCTCCCTCATGCCTTACAAAGATCTTTAACTGCTCCATCTGGGAGGCTGAGCTGCCAAATTTAACTCAGTTTCTCTTAGCATGTGGACTTACGCTTGTTTAAGCTGTGTTATTAAAGACTGGCTGCTTCTCACTGGAAGCTTATTCTTCCTTGCAGAGTTTTTTACCTAATGGCTTTGATCTCCTTCCATTCACACCAGGGATATCTGTATGAAATACCGTATCATAGAGACCTGAACCACTCTCAAGAATTATGAAGCCTGTTTAGCTTACTTGAGGAATTCCTTTTAGCAGCTCCTATCTGTAGAGATCCGCCCAATACAGTGCAAGTTGGAAATGATGATAAATGATATCTAACATAGCAAAAGGTTAATGAAATAGATTTCATTGTTAAAAAAAAAAAAAAAAAAGAAATTGCCTTGAAAAAAAAATATAGCTCTTTCTGTCTCCATACAACCTCCAAGCTAATAATTCTTCATTTAGCTCCATTAGATACCAATAACTTGATGAAGAATGCATACTTTTAGTAATCTCCTAGTGAGGTTAGATGCACTTCTTGCCAAGAGCCTGAAGTGAATTCCTCCTAGATGTTTATTTGCTTTGCCATCACTGTCTATTTAACAGTGAGCAAAAAAAAGTGTAGTTTTGTCAGACTACTCTATCAATGTCTTAAGGAAAAATGGTTTGTTACCATTTTGTTTTGTTCATGCTTTCTCACTGAATAAGGAGTTTCCAGTGGTTCATTTGAAGCAGAAAATTTCTGATTTAGTATTGGGCTTTCGAAGTGCAACTGAAAACTGATTCAATTTTTATTTTCTTTATTCTAGCCTTTCTACGAAAAGTTTACAGCATTCTGTCTGTTCAGGTTCTCCTGACCACAGTCACATCTGCAATTTTTCTGTATTCCACTGGAGTACAGGCATTTGTTCATGAAAGGTAAGCACTGTCATGAAACAGCACTGTTTATCGCTGTGTTAAATATAGCTTGTATAGTTGCTCTGGAGCACTTCTGTATTCCTAATGTAATGCACTATGTTTTGATTCTGTAACAGAAACTTTGTAAGTGATTAGGAAATCATTTTAGGAAATCATTTTTCTTCTCTGATATTTTTCTCTATAGTTTACTATTAAAATTTATTGTAATTTTATTTATTTAATATAATAGTGATTAAAGTATATTTTAATCAATATTTCACTAATAGTTTTTATTTAAATGTTTACAGTATGATTACCTGTTTACAGTATCAGCTGCAGAGCATCTGAATTACTGACATTTCTTGTTTGGAATGCTGTTGTTCCTATGTGTCTGTTCCAGAGAGCTGGGTCATTTCATACTCTTCTCCCTCCTTCCCCATCTTCTCTTTGTTGTTTTTTTTGTTGTTTTTTTTCCTGAAAATCAGTCTTCTCTAAATTCTGTGGGTTTGTTTCTCTTTGCCTCTCAGATTTCCCTGTGAAAAACAAAGACTCTAACCCAAACTGCAGTGAACAGTAGGGAAGAAGAGCAAGTGGGGAATGAGGAGACCACTGAGTCCAGTTTTAGTTTTCTCCCGAGTGCACTTCCAAACTTTGCATTTGTTTACACTTCATAGCCCTGATATAAAAGGAGGATCAAACACTAGATGAGTTTCTGTACAAGCTATCTTGTTTGCAGTAGATATTATAAAACCAGTTTTGTAATTACATCTGCTTTTTAAAAATTGTTCTGGTCATTTAGAACCATTCTGCTTTTGTGTTTGCTTTTAGTCTAATTTTTGCTTGGATGGCTTCTTGAAAGATTTAATTATGGCAATATTTACTGGGCAGTATTGATATTTGTTGGTACAGTTAGTGCCCATGTTTGTTACGTTCAGGTGCTTATGAAAAAAAAAACAAAAAAAACAGCAGAATTCCCTTTGGATGTGACAAAATACTGTGTATACTTTGAAAATAGTACTCAAGTTCAGGTGGATCTTCTCTTCATATAGGTGATGGGTTCCTGGGCAATTTACAGCATAAAAAAAGTGTCTTTACTTGTAGTTGCACCATTTATAACTGATTTTCTATGTTGATATGCTTTAGAACAGTTTTATTTTAAAATTTACTGTACTTTGAATCTACGGAGCAGTCTCCATCTAGGTGGTCACTTAAGAGGTTGGTTTTATATAAACTGCTTTGTAGTCAAATGGGTATTTTAATTTTGATGACCTTCTTGTATGGCACTTTACAGGCCTGCCTTGCTTTTGATATCTGTGTTTGGATGTTTGGCTATAAGCTTTGCACTGGCCCTCTACAGACACCAGCATCCTGTTAACTTATACCTGCTTTTTGGATTTGTAAGTATTGGTATAAATTCAGTTGTTAATAGTCCATAGAATATCTTCTTTCCAAATGAACTCCTTGTATCAGGCTAGCAGTAGCTATTTTATTTTTCATGTGTTCCTTGAAATACATCTCAGACCTTTAGAATATGTAGGGTATTTTTTTTTTTTTTTTTGAGATTATATTAATAGGTTGTTCTTAGGTAGAAGAAATCTGAATTGGAGGCTACCACTTTTTTTTTTTTTGTCAGGAACAGAGTTAGAGTTTGAAATCAGATGAACAAGATTTATTTTTGTCTTGTGTGTGTTCATGTTTATATATCTGTATTTATCTTGCTACCCTCATTGTTCTGTTGATATCAGTTTCTGAGAAACTGCTCTGTAGTAAAGAAGAAAGCTTGCCTTATTTGCTTAATGGGCAGCCTCCAGCAGAGGACCAGATGCAGCCAGCTGTATTTAGCTGTGTTAATGCTAAATTCTTAACCAACACAAGCAAGTCAAACAAAGCTATCCTCAAATTTCAGTCTCCTGCCTGCGGATGTTAGGTGCAGGCTAACTGTTGCTCCTGAACATCTTGGACTGTGGAGCAAATCAGTCTGCTGAGAAGAAGTCACAGCAGCACCATCAGAATTTGATACTTTAGAAGCTGCCTAAATTTTATCTGCCATACAATGGGAAGATAGATTTTTTTGTGTGTGTAGGTGGGTTTAGTTATCTCAGGTTTGTGTTCTTCCTGAGGTCTGAACTTTTCCAGAGAGCAATTTTTTAAAAAATTATAATTTTATTATTAAAAAATAATAATAATAACACCTTTAAATGGTTGCAACTGTAAGAGGGAGTGTTGTAATAGTTTCAGGAAATGTGGTGTGGCAGTTTGTGTCATGGCAGTTGAAGTACAACATTGTATAGGGACAGGAAGATTAAAAATTGCATGTGATAAATTGAGTGAAATGCACTGTTGTTTCTGATCTCTTAGTTCATGCCATAGATACTTTCTCCTATTTTCTTGTAATGAAACTTGAACTGAAATTGCCTTTTAGAAAAATTCAGGAGTCATGGTAGTCTTTGCTCCAGGCATCAGTAATATGTTTGATTTTAAGTTGGCTTGATGAATGATGAGAGGAAGAACTTGACACTAAGCTGTCTAATAAGATATTGATTGAGTTCGATGGAAGTATTTTGAATATTGAAAAGTATACAGAAAGATGGCAATAGTTCATTTCTAATAGCAGTTCTGAGAAATCTTCTGGCCCCCTCGAACAAATTGTAAGGATTATGGTAAGAATGCTGTGTGCTCTGAATAGAAAACCTGGATGGCAGTTTTCTACAACTGCTGTCACGCATTCAATTTCAGTTTATATTTCATTCTTTTTAAATATCAACAACTTCCAGAATACTAAGATGATACCGTTGTCATTTTCTTGTTGAAAATGAAGCATGTTATCATGTATAAAAATTATCAGGAGATCTAGTGTTATTGGGATTATGCAGCAGAATAGATCTTACTGCGTGTGAAGTCTCCATGCAAGTGGTGGTGGTGTTTTATTTTACTCATGTTATTTTTTGTTTTTACTTTTTGTAGACCCTCCTGGAAGCACTTACAGTTGCCATTACAGGTAAGCAATAGCCATCCTGTTCTCTGATTCCTTAAATAAACTGGAAAAGGAATCCATTATGTTATACTAATTGTCATATGCGATTCCTCAGTGAGATATTAAGATGATTAAAAATTTCAAATGATGATGATATGAATCGAGTAAAAACTTGGGTATCAAAAGAGGAAATTTGGGTTCTGGCCCAGGACTGAATTTGTATGAACTTGAATAAACTTTCATCCATTCTTTTGGAATAACTAGCAGTGCTTTCCTATAAAGCATCTCTCAGCAGAGCTGATCTGCTACTGGCAAAAATAAGAATGTAATTTGTGGAAATGTATTTTAAAAAGGAAGGCTGGAAGAAAAAGGCTCCGACCACTTCTTATCTTTCCCCTCTTACTCCCTTATCATAATGCTTAGGAGTTGTTTTTTTTTGGAGGACTGTTTTGTAATTTGTTTGTTTAAATACAGTGAAAAATTCAGCTAGCCTTTTACTGAAGATCTCACCCAGCAGGGCACAGAATAGTTTTTGTTACCCTTTCTTTTGTGAGTACAGAAGATCTGTTATCTCTATTTAAGAAGCTACAGCTATGCTATAAATGCCATAACTAGTGCAAGGGTCTGTGAATCATGTGATGACCATCTTGAAGCAGAAAACCAAGTTCAGGCATAATTTACACTTTTTGCTCACAGAAATGTAAACAATCACAGATAGGATAAAAATAAAAATAAAAATTAAGTTGTTCCTCAACAGATAACTTAGCAAATGCATAGGGTTGTGTTCTCTAAATGACACTTTGCTTTTTTTGGTTTATAGTGAGTTTCTATGATGTGTCCATCGTCTTGCAAGCCTTCATTCTTACGACTGCTGTATTTCTTGGGCTGACTGTGTATACCTTGCAGTCAAAGAGAGACTTCAGCAAATTTGGAGCAGGGTATGTTATCTTATCAATGAGATTTTTATTTTTTTTAATTAAGCTTGATTTTTTTTTCCTTTTTAAAGCAAGCTTTGCAGATGTAGTAAAGAATACAGGTCAGTAGCTGACCTGTGAAAGAGAATGGTGAGGGTGTTAATCATCGTAATTTATTAGTTTTATTCAGCTCTGTTCTCTTGAATAATTATTTTTTTTAGTGTAGCACACTTACTGTGATTATGATTCTTGTAACCATAATATTTACACTAGAAAACCAGATTAGCTGTATTTTTCACCAAGACAGAATGGAGCTCTTTCAAATTTAACAGTAAATTTAGGAGATAATTTTTGAGAGCTGTATAAAACAGACTTGTACAGCTAATGCCAACAAACAGATGGCATCTAAGAATTATGGACATGTACCAAATATATCGTAAGGAGATTTTATGGGAGGAGAATCATAGAATGGCACTCGAGTTAGAAGGGACCTTAAAGCCCACCCACTTCCAAGTCCCTGCAGTGGACAGGGCTGCCCCCCACCAGCTCAGACTACCCAGGGCCCCATCCAGACTGGCCTTGAACACCTCCAGGGATGGGGCCCCACAGTTCCTTTGGGCAGCCTGTGCCAGTGCATCAACTGCTCTCTAAGTGAAAAATAGCCCCCTAACATCTAATCTAAATCTCCCTATTTGTCAGTTTTAAATCACCCCCCCTTGTCCTGTCACTACCTACCCGTGTAAAAAGTTGATTTCCCTCTTATTTATAAGATCCTTTTAATTACTGGAAGAGACTTTAGGTAAAATTTAAAACAAAAGGTATTGTTATTGCTCACAGATTTTTTTTTTTTTTTCAGGCTCTTTGCTTGCTTGTGGATTTTAATCTTCTCATGTTTCTTGATGGTAAGATACCTTGTGATCAAAGTTTAAAATGTTATTTCACTTAAATCCTGTACTAACTTCTATTATAACTAAAATATTTAAAAAATATCTTTGTGTAAAAATTTCCCAGGCAGATTCATTGCTGTTGTAGATTATGCTGGTGATCTTTCAACTATTCATTTCCAATTCAGATTTTTGGTGGATGCTGGTCTCGCTGATATTAAAGTGGTGGTTGAGCTGATTGACAGTGTTGTCAGTCAAGATGCACTGCTTTTCTGAGGAAAGGGGAAGGAGAGTTGAGTCTTAATTTAATTTTTTTTTAATTTGTCTTTTGTTGTTACTATTCTGGCAAACAGAGTTTGCTTTCTCTTAAGAAGACACTTTTCACGTAGTTAAAGAGATTGTATGACTGGGAACTGTATGACGTAAGAACACTGAAATGTCATTTTATTACTCTATTTGTGTGCATGCATAACAGTAAAAGGACAGTATGTATCTACGTTTCAAGTGTGGAGTATCTTGATGCAAAATTTTAATATTAAAAAGAAAATGAAATTTAATTTTCTTGTTTCATTTGTCTTCAGCTGTTTTTCCATAGTGAAATAATGGAGCTGGTGTTTGCTGCTGCTGGAGCACTTCTCTTCTGTGGATTTATTATTTATGACACTCACTTGCTGATGCACAAGTTATCCCCTGAAGAGTACATACTGGCTGCAATCAACCTTTACCTGGACATCATCAATCTGTTCCTCAACCTGCTACGTTTACTGGAGGCATTTAATAAGAAGTAATAAACAGGGATATGGTTGAAGTACCTGAATAGTGTTGGCTCAGATGATCTACAAACTGTGTGCTCTCATCTTTTAGAGACTGAATCTTTATTTCTCTTTCATTACATGAGTACTCATCCCTCCTTTGAGGTGAGGGGGAAGCTCTCAGTCTAAGTTCTTCTCTAGAATATGTATTTTGTTTAGTTGACGTGGTGTATCCATTTACACTCCATTTTTAATTTACTTAATTTGCACTTGATGTAATTCACAATTAAAATGTTTGCCAATTTCTGATTGCTCCAGAGCACGCTGAGAAAGTCTCTGACTGTAATTCTGTAGCTTCTGGAAATGTTTCCTCTGTGATTGGCAGAGTAAGGAGGCGTAAAGGCAGACGGAAGTGATGTTTGTGCAGTGTTTTACTAAGTTAAAACTACTTCTAGTCTTGGTTTGGTAAAATGGAATGCTGTCTGTGAAAGGGAGGTTTTGCTATTGAGCCCTAATGTAACTGGGAGATTATGAGGTTGCTTCATGGGAATGTTCTTCATTCATTAAGGACAATTTATTGCCTATCTTTCAGTGTTTTGGGAAATCATTTGAAGATGGATTCTTGTGTATGTTAAGGTTAATGGTGTCTCAATAAAAAATTAGAAAATCTTCAGTCAATTCTTGCAGCCGAGCATGGATGGAAGGTGTAATTCCCACTGCTGGGCCACTTCTTGCAGCTGGGTTGAGGCAGCAGCACGTGTGCTGCATACAGAGCTGCTGGAATCCTGGAGCAGCTGGCAGCGTAACAGCTTCGAAGCCTCTTCTTACTTCTTGCTCACTCTTGAAGCATTGTTATCCTGTGAGGTGTTGGCAGAAAGGCTCCCTGATGCCTAGGAAGCATTCCATTTCCTACCAGCAGCAAGGACAGCGGGTGCTTTCCATGCTGGAACTTTGCTTAGAATATTGCTAAGTACAGCTACAACGAGGAGCGGGAGGATTTTTCTGTCTTACAGATTAAGAAATGTGTAGAAGAAGCCCAAATAAAATCCTGACTATTTTCCTTGTACTGGAGCCCGTGGGTTTCTCGCTGCCAACGCACTCGGAGACTTACGGTAGAGCCCGCGGGGAGGTGGGACTTCCGCATCACGTGACTCTCGCCCGCGCATGCGCAGACCGCGAGAGCAGCGCCGCGAGGGGCAGAGCGTGGGGTTCGCGCGGGGCTGAGGTGAGCCGGGCGCCTTGGGGCTTCAGTGGCGTCCTCGCGGCGTCAGCCTCACCGCTCCCCGCTTCTTTCCTCCCTCAGGACATGGCCAAGAGCCTGAGGAGCAAATGGAAGAGGAAGATGCGGGCGGAGAAGAGGAAGAAGAACGCTCCCAAGGAGCTGGAGAGGCTGAAGAGCATCCTGCGGACCGGAGCGGACGTCGTCATGGAGGAGGTCAAGGAGGTGGCGACCGTGCTGCCCGCCAAAGAGGCCCTGGAGAAGCAGGGTGAGTCGGACCCGCCAGATGCCGCCGGCCCCCGGTTGCCCACGCCCTCCGAGCTCCGGCCGGCCCGCTTCCCCGCCCCCTGCCCGCCTTCCTCGTGGCGTGAGCCGCCTGCGCGTCGGCTCCGAGGCTGGGATCGGTAACAGGAAGCGGGAACGAAGATTTCACATGCTGGGAAGTGGTCAGGCGTCTTAACAAAGCCTCAATCCAAACTAAAGCGTACCCCCTTTTCCTAACTGCCTACGTGGCGCTAACTGCGTGTTGCCATGGACGCAGCGAGGATCTGAAATACTGCCAGTAGTGACTGTCAGCCACACAGGCGGTTCTGTCGGCTTAGGAAAGACAGAGAAGGGTTATTCATTTGAATAGCAGAGCCCATAAACCATCTTAAAGTTGGAAGTAGAGACTATCTAAAAAATACGTATATTCAGAGGTAGCGTTTGAGGACTTCTTTTAAAGTTATCCTAATGATGTGTAAAATTAGGAATTACTTGTTTGACAGCAAAGTCAAACCAAATTGTAAACAAGCTGTCTTGTAGCTTTTTTTTGCTGTGATTGTTACTTTATTCAGAAAGTTTGGATATCAAATAGCTCTGGTTTAATTCTTGACTTAATTTTTGCAAGATGTTACTTGTGTACTGCTTGGTACTATGGATACTTTCTTTTTCCTGTTGTAACTAGAGGAAAAAAAAAAACACAGAAACACCAGGGTTGGAAAAGACCTACAAGATCATCCAGTCCAACCATCCACCACTCACCAGTAGTTCTCACTAAACCACGTCCTTCAACACAAAATCCGAATGTTCCTTGAACGTCTCCAGGGTGACTCCACCACCTCCCTGGGCAGCCCATTCCAGTGCCTGACTACTCTTTCAGAGAAGTAGTAATTAAAAAAGTGATGCTATAGCTCTGAACTGCCAAGTAACAGCAGTTTATGTGAGCATTAGCAGTTCTCATTGCCTGTTTCTGCATTCTCCAGGTCTACTGAAACTTTTCTCCCCTCCATATTTTAGCTGTTGCTCACAACATCTGGATCTTTGGTCTGGGATAGACCAGCTGTGACACTTGAAAAACCATGCTGTTATGAAGACTTTGTATTTCATTGATGTCTTGAAGAGTCTTTGGGACTGGGGCCACCCTTTGCAGACAGTAGCCCCCTGTGCTGATTTTCTGCAGGCTACGTGTATTCCTATCCCAGCTTTAGGGCACCTAAACACACCTCTGTGGTGCAGATCCATGCAGTCTGTCAGCATACTTCAACTATTGAAGCAGTATGTTGGCCTTTTCCTCGTGAACTTTATTTTCCAACATTAAACAAATGCAACATAAAAAAAAATCTTCTCCCGCTCAGTTAAGCTTATGATAAAGCTTTTAGAGTTGTACATGTAAGGTTTGGAGCCAAGTTTGAAAGTAAATAGCATAGGGCTGTTCACATCTATACTTAACAAGATGTTCCCCTTGTCGCCTGGTTGTTTCACCAAGACAGCCCCATCTTTATCTATCTTTATCACTCAATTTAATTTTGTAGAACTTTCTTGGATCTTAAACATCATACTGTAAAGTGTTTAATTATACTTATGTTGTAGTAAGCCACTGGTTTCCTCTAAGCTTGCAGCTTATGGTGGAGACCACACGCAATGTTTTTAGATGCAATATTAGAACATAAGGCAGACTGTAGAATAAGTTTGCTTTGCCCAGCCATGGGCCTTTGGGAGAAATTCTTCATATTTATTATCAGCTGTTGAAGTTCCTGGGTTGCAGTTGTATTGATTTGCAAAGGACTTTCAATGTATGAAGCCTTCTGCTCTTCCTGTACAAATATTGTTGTTTATGGAGATCTCATCATGTTTGTGAATCTTGTAAGAAAATAGCTTCTGTGAAGCTTTTCATGCACTTTACTGACTATAAATGCCTTTCTTTTTCAGATGACTGCAAAATGGAAATAGATATTAAAAGAAATAAAAAAACTCTCCTAGACCAACATGGACAGTACCCAATATGGATGAATTCCAGGCAGAGAAAGAAGCTTAAGGCACAGCGCTTAAAAGGAAAGAAAAAATCAAAGTTAGCCAAAGGCTTAGCCTGGTAGATTCAAATTTTGTGAGATTGTGAATATTTTACTTTTCAAAATAAATATTCTATACCAGCTACGTATATTTTTGTGCTTGACCACCGTGTATGATTTATTGTGTTAAGTAAACCTTTGAAGAGATTGCTTGGCCAGCAAATGATAAAAGCATTAGCAAGTTGGTGTCTGCCAAGCTTAACAAACAAACAGCAGAAAAGCAAGCTGAGTGCCTTTGAATGGACTGAATGTCTGCTCATCAATTTTCTTTGGGGGAAGGAGGATGGAGAGGGGGCTGTTTATGTTTCATTTTGTGGATGCTGGGTAAGTGATCCTGTACTTTGTCAGTGTAACTCTTCTATAGTAAATTTTACCAAAGGATTCTGTAAGCTCAGTGTATCCTTTAAATTTTTCTGTAAAACGACTCATCTTGCTAATCTATGTTGTCTTTAATATCTGGTAATTAATGAAAACAAGTGCATAACATGTTATTTAAGGGATTACACACTGAAATCAACACTCCAGCTTCATGAGATTTTCTGTGATTAAAACTCAAAAGGCGTCAACATGACCAGAGAGAAAGGTGATGAAATGAAGTTCTTCACTACTTCATTCACCTGACTGTAGGAACAGCGTAATAGTTCTTCAAAACTACATTACTACATTTGGTTTTTTTTGTTAATCTGAGCGTATGCAGATGTACAGATTGAAGAAAAAGTTTAAAATGTTATCCAAGTTCCTTTTGAAGTAAATGTGAATTTACTTTTCTATATGTATTGCCAATAGCTTTATATTTCTCTTAAAATGGCACTAATTTATCATGCTTTACAGTGTGGGCATAGGAGACCATACTACATGATGCCATTTATACGTGACTAGCAGATGCCATTTATACATGACTAGCTACAGCTGGTTGTGTATCACTTGGCAACAACATGAAGAGAGATCAAAGAATTAGTTACCAGAAAACCTGTTTTTAAAAAGTCTCTCACATTTCAAGGTTGCAAGTAAATACATTACCAGTCCTGCAGGGTACTGTCTTGTTGAAGTACTGTTTGTACTTCATGTAGTGGCTTCATCCACTACTTTTCTTGAGTGGAGATAATCAAACTGACAAAGTGCTTCTATTAAATGTATGATTTTGTTCATGGCCAAGCTGGTTTATTTTGCATTTCTAGGTGCACGACCATAGTCTTTCATCTTAATCAAGCCTGCCACTTCTGTACTTGCTTTATGTTCTCCTCTCTCTGGACTCGTTCCTCTGCCTCTGCTCTTTTCCTCTCTAGGAGAAAATGATCTGTACAACTGAATACTTCCCACATTTCTGCTTTTGTGACCCAGCTCTGAATTTTGCTGCAGAAATGTATTAGTCTACTACTTCTGTGACCAGGTTGTGGATTTGAGTTTCACGTGAGAGACAGCAGAACCCACGGTCATCTTTTATTTAGCATTTGCTTCCTACCAGCTGAAATGATACTGCTTGTGTGAGGTGTTTCCTTCATGGTGTTGAGGATAAAGTCAAACAGGCTCACTTTAAGCTCCAGATATTTTAAGATATCCAGTTTGATTTTTAAACAGAGGGAGTTGACAAGAAAGGTATAAACTTACTACCTGTGTACTTCTGTATACTGACAGCACAGCTCAGTGGTGCATCAGACCTGTCTCTGCGCCAGATGGATTTGGAGAGCCAGGCTGGGTGGGATCTATAATCTGGGCTGAAGGCTCACTTGTGGGCATGTGGCAGGAATCTGGCTGAAAGTGCAGCAGACATATAACCTGGCCCCTCCCTACAAGAAAGACATCGTGAGGCTCTGGAGTGTATCCAGAGGAGGGCAATGGGGCTGTGAGGGGTCTGGAGCACAAGTCTTATGGGGAGCGGCTGAGGGAGCTAGGTTTGTTCAGTCTGGAGGAGACTTGGGGGAGACATTTCTCTCTACAGCTGCCTGAAAGGAGGTTGTGATGAGGTAGGAGTCAGCCTTTTCTCCAAAATAACAGGCGATGTTGTATTGAAATGGCTCTGAGTACAGTGTGCGTGTGTGCAGTATAAAAAGTCATTAGCAAATTGCTAAATGTCCCATAGGTTATTGGCAGTCTCCTGACAAGCTGACAAGGTCTGCG